CAGGTGGGCTATATTGTAGTTATTCAGCTGTAAGAAGTTTTGAGTTGTAAGAATTAAGAACCCAAAACTTGAGAAATTGACAATGTCGACGTGACAGTTAAAAGACCCATCATCAGTCTTAGTGATTAACACACGCACAGTAAGAGTGAAAATTCTGTCAACTGACTTACAGTAGAGTAAAGCAATCAATTTAAATGATATACACACACTGTTAAAGGCTGCACCAAAATACCTTCAGTTGCTATAAGTTGCACTCTGAGTTTAGCATCTATTTTTCAGGGAAAGGAAAATTTTCTCATTAAAACAGTGCACCTCATAACCAAATAACCATCATACAATAATCTGTTTATTGATCCTCACACGTGAGTTACGTTGTCTGGATGGTCATTTTGAAGTGAACATTAAATTTTTAGTTATATGTTACTGCTTGGAGAATTCTGTCCAATTCGCTGTTCCATTATACTTAAGAAGGTCTGTGAAAGATTTACCACTGAAATTACAAAAATTTTCAAGATCTACAAAACCCTCACCTAAGGTCAGGGATATTGAGTCTTATGCAGTAAGCTCTTTTGCAGTTCTACTTTAATTAATTAATTCCTTGTAAAAGAATAAATCAATCAAAACTCACGGAAAGTTTAGTGCAAAAAAATAACACTACTGTTAAATTTCCAGTTTTGTATATAAGAATTTCCAATTGAAAGTTAAGAGGTTTGCATTTTTTCGAGTCAATTGTTCCTCTATTTGGGAAAATAGCAGAAAATACAGCAATCAGTCATAATTATATTCTCACTAACCTCTCTGGTGTGAAAAAGTTTCAGTTTCGCCAGGAGAAACAATGGCAAACTAGGAACACGTCTCGTTGTAGAAAATGTGCTTAATACCGAAAGAAAATGCAACTATACTCGAGTCGAGTACGAAGGACCAGGAGACTCGAATTGGCGGGGATCTAAAGTATTACAAAATAACATGCCGTCATTCATGGTCTTAGTCACTCACTGATGCCATTACAGATTCCTTTTATGAGTCATGCGATTCCTTCCGAGACGTATTTTCCATGCTACGCAAAATACTTCGCTCAAAAACCCTTTCTTTTCTCTTTCCTTCCTTAGGCCGGTGGAGGTCGGAATGAAATGTTATTATGTTAGTTCCTTCAAGAAATCCTCCAAATCACAAACATTTCATCAAAAGTTTTTTGATTGAATCTGTTAGTATTACAAAAATTTAAAAATTTACATTTAATTCAACTTTGCGATGCTATGATCTTTGAATTGATTTCCTCAAGTCGAGCCGGTCGCTTTTCTTAAGAGGTAAATTAGTGTTAACAACTGAGTTGAAAACGTAAATAAGCCACCGTAAAGGGTAAATAAGCTGACGTTTCGAGCTTTAGCCCTTCGTCAGAGCGAAGAATTAGGTTCCCATTCGCAAGTACAGATCTGTGCACCTATCACAGATGACATCAAACTGCTTCATATACCGAATGATCGGCACAAAATGGTCATATAGTAAAAAAAATTTACTTAAAAATGAATTTTTACGTGGCGACGAATGAAATCAAAAGCGGAAGTGATTATAGATGTATTGGTTTGATGCCTAATGCATTTCTCTACACAACAGGCTATTGAAGAAGAAAAAAGTGAATGATAACGAGCTTATATTCCCATAAATGATAAAATAAGCGAAAAAAATATTTTCAATCTAACCTTTTGGGAAAACAGATCAACAGCCTTCCAGCGATGTAGCCAGATACCAAGGAATCCAGCGCCTCGAAATTTAATCTGCTTTTCTTATCCCTCATTGAACTCTGGGACTGATTATTATCTCAGCAAATAATCCACTTCTAATCGTCACGCTATACAAACGTTTTAGGGCAAGTGATAGTTATCGTTAGGTGTGTTTAGCAGAGAGCCCCTGAACACGGTTGTAACGTCAGACTTTTCGAGCTTACTGAGAATTATTTCAAGAAAGCAATTAAGTAATTTTTTTGCGTTTACATAGCCTTTTCTAAGCACTCGGACGATTGGGAGAATTCTCAAAAGTTTTGCAAGCCCCGACTGCGCCTCAGGTTTGTATGACTTAAATTCTTCTAAATCCGATGTGTGAACACGGGAAAAGTCCTCTATCGATTAACTACAAGTATCAGTAAGCAAAATTTAACATGCATGCGGAGAAGGACGGATAGTTGACCTCATTTTTACGTTATCTGTGACTTACTACGGAACAGATGTCACGCAGTCACTTTTCGGGAAGTTTTAAGCATTGAAATTGAAAATGAACCCATCTGTCTAGAATCAAAAGAAACAGAGAAACACTGTGGGAGGGGGGAAGAGGGGGGAGACGGGGGAGACGGGGAGAGAGGGGGAGCAGAAGCAAGGGTGTAAGGGATAAAAATGGTTTGCCAACGCAGAGTTTTGCATTTTCAGCGGTAACGAGTCAACAGTTTTGTCGTCGATTGTGGCTGTATCTTTTTTCTCAGATTTATCCTGCATTTTATTGATAAAATTGTTAATGCGTAACATTTACAAGTCTTACAACGGTATCGTGAAAGTACATCCGGACGAAGGGACGGTTTTCGTGTCAATCTGCTTTTTCGCTTCGAAAAGAACATGTGGAAAGAATGCGAGCAAGACAACATATTGAACTTGAGGTCATGATTTATCACCTCAGTTCCTTGGTGAAATACTGCTATGAGTATTTGACGTCTAAACTCGTGCAAAACTCAGGCTTGGAATGATAATTCAAACACACTTATCCTTGACACTTACAACTGGCC